GCCCTTCTTGTGCCCCGCCCCGCCCTTGGCGCCCTCAAGCATCTCCCCCCTCCTCCCGGCTGTTAGCCTGGGAAGGGGGCCAGGCCCTGAGCTCAGACCTTGGCGATTCCAGAGTGTCTGAGGCCCAGAGCCAGCCCCGCCAGCCCGGCCAGACAAGGCGAAGGGGCGGGGGCAGGGTGGGCATCAGGAAGCCATTTAGAGGGGGGTTGGCAGGGAACCTGGATTTCGAGCTTTGTTCCATCTGCTCCTCTTCTGGACCCCGCGGGCTTCTTCCTGGGGCCCCGCTGGGGCCCTGGCTAAGGGGTGCCCCCTCCTCGAGTCCTCTCCTCCAGGCGGAGTGGACCAGTACTAATAAGAAGTGACTTCGGGGTGGTGAGACCCCCACACGTGCAAGGGAGGCTGCGCCAGGGCTGAGAGGCGTGGGTTCCAGCCCCACCTGCTCCCACTATCCGCGCGACCCTGGGGCAAGGCCCATCTTCCTACCCCAGCCTCGGTTTCCCACTTTGATGCTGCCGGGCGGAGGTGGGCGCGGGCCTTCCAGCCCCGCCCGGAGGAATCCGGCGGGGCGGCCAGCGGTCCCAGGTGAGGGCTCTCTGGAGCGGGCCCAGCGCGGCGGCGGCGGCGGGTTCCGGCGGGGCGGGCATCTGGGGCGGGGACCGCCCCCCAGCCTCCACCCGCCCGCACACCCTCGCTCCCCCAGGCGGCAGCGACGACGCTTTAAACAGAAAAAAACTGTCTCCCTGGCTCGGGGCCAGCATCCCAGCCCCCCTCGCCGCCGCCGCGCCGCGCTCCAGCCAGGGAAAACAACTGCTCACTTCTCCCTGAGTCCGCCCCGCGCGCTCCCTGCTTCCCGGCGGCCGCGGGAGCCCAGCCCGGCCGGGGGAGGCGCGGAGCGGGCCGGCCGCCCGGCCTTCCTCTCCCCTCGCTCCTCCTCTCCGCCTCAACTTGCTCCGGCCTCCTCGCTCCGGCCTCAGGTTGGGGCCTCCGCAGGCCCTCGGCCCCGGCTCGTGGCTGGGCTCCTTCCCGGGGCGGTGGAAGTTTCTGGGCTCCCCGCAGTCCAGCCTCCATCTCTTTGCCTCTCACTGGGCCCGCGCCCGCGCCTGCTGTCCCCTCCCCGCGCGCTTCCTCCCATCCTCTCCCTCGCTGCCCTCTCTACTCCTCTCCCGGGGCTCCCGGCTTGCTGTTCCCCTCGGGCGCCGGGACCATCGCCCCTGCCCGGGCGCGCCCCCCGGGTCCTGCGGCCCCGGATGCCCGGGCCCCGTGGGGCTGCTGGCGGCCTGGCCCCTGAGATGCGCGGGGCGGGGGCGGCGGGGGGGGCGGCGGGCGGCTGCTGGGTCTCGGCCTCGCTGCTCATGGTTGCGGTGATGGTGACTGGGGCCGGCTGCGGCAGCTGCGGCTCCTCCCGGGATGTGATGGTAACTAGGCCGGCGGCGGCGGTGGGGCTGCACAGGGCTCTCTGGGGTCCGCTCTCCGCTCCCGCTACCGATCGAACTAGCGAGAATGGCGGGACGGGCGGGATAAGCCCGGCGATCGACCCGCCCCAAGGATCGTTCACTGGCCAGCGATGCTGTCAATCTCACCACCTGACCTCAACTCTTGACTTCTACTGGCTAATACTCTATCACTCCTCCACTGTCATTGGCCCTTAGGCAGCTAATTCGGCCGACCTGCAACCGTTCCTGCCTCCGCCGCCGCCATAGAGACCGGAACTAGAATTAGAGTCACCACGAGAACCATAGAGTACTCGAGAGGACGGGCAGAGAGAACGTGACTTTCACGAGGCGGCAACCCGGGCGGGCCCGAATTCCAGGACAGTGTCCTGGCCGAAGGAAAGGCACGGCCAGACGCTTGAGCCGGGATTACCCGACCAGACCCGGGGCCTAATGACACCTTAGCTCCATATGGAGAGAAGGCCTCCCGCCCGCCTTGCTCCAAATATGGTCCTTGTGACCTCAGACCATGACTGCAGATAGAGCCGTCTTTTCTACAATGGCCGTGTACTCGCGGCAGAGCTGAGAGTTTCTGGAACGGACTTAAACGTATGCCTTCAAAGAGCGTCGGTTTACCGCGGG